GTGTGTTTTCATATGTGTACAGTGTCATCCAAAGGTGATTACAGGTGTGTGCATGCATGCATGTACATGAATGTGTGCCTATTCACATGGCACACCTATGTATATGTCCACACATGCTGTTATGAAAACTTGCTGAAGTGCCAAAACAAAGCTATCATAGGGATTTATCCAGCGTCAACATTTCTGGCCTTCTTTTTACCGAGTCAAGTGGGTTACTTCACCTCTCCAAACATCAGCTTCTCATTTGGAAAGTGGGCATCTGGATGACACCTCTCCCGCTGTGCTGCTGCAGGATTAAAGATTCACAGCACATAACATGCTTAGGAAAAGCTCTCTTACCTAGTCACATCTCCGTAAAGAGAGCGGTTATTAGCACATCTCCACTGGACACCTCCTGCATGTCAGACAACATGTAAACCTGAGAGGAACAAAGACCCCCAAGCTTTGTCATCCTCGTGCCACTGTCAAGGAGACAGATACATACAGAAGTAATAATAGTAGAGGGCGACCAATATTTATTAAGGCTCTACCTCGTGCCAGAACTGTTAAAGCTTTTGAGACACATCAAATAAACTTCCCTGCCCTCTAAGAGCTCATCTTTTTGCAAGAAGGGATAAGCATTCAATAAGGAAAATAAATAGATCAATATATATAGTATGTTTGAAGGTGGTAAGTGTGATGGGAGGGGAGGACTCAAAAACAAAAGGGATGAAAGGGTTCTCTGTGAGCCAAGTGTCACCCCTGAAAATATATGGCGGCTCAGGACCTTACTTAGAAAAAAAGGTCTTTGCAGATGTAATTAAGTTAAGGTTGTCAGGATGAGATGATCTTGGATTATCTGCCCTAAATCCAATCACTAGTGTCCTTAGAAGAGAAGAGAGGGGAGGAGACACAGAGGACAGGCAATGGGGAGACAGGAGCAGAGGCTGGAATGGTGCAGCCACCAGTCAAGGGACACCTGGGGCCGCTGGAAACCGGAGAGACAAGGAAGAGTCCTGCCTCAGCACCTTTGGAGGGCGCGGGGTCCTGCGGATGCCCAGGTTTTAGGTTCTGCCCTGCAGAACCCAAAGAGAATATGTTTTTATCATTTTAAGCTACATAGTTTGTGGCAATGTCACGGCCGCCCCAGGCACCTCACACAGAGCAGAGAGAAAGTGTGCTGCCCTTCTCTGGGGGAGAAACCAGGGGACTGTCCCTGGGCCCCCAACTGATCTCCCCTCAGCTCCCCGACGTGGAGAGGAACAGGGGTCATTTCTTCCCCTGATCGGGCGGGAAAGCTGAGAAAATGGGCAAATCATGATTTCATCCGAGATCTCCGGGGATGTGTCAGCAGATTCAGAAACGTGGGACAGAGCGAGAGCCCGAGTTGTAGGTTCCGTCCCTGGTCTGTCACTAACCCACCGTGGCTCTGGGAAAGTCACTTGCCCTCTGTGAGTCTGCTGCCTCATCTATTAGATGGGGACGATAATACCTTACACGCACACACCTTACCAGTTGGCGTGAGGATCTATCTAGGGAGGCACTCAGGACACTGTCCTGTGTGTGGCAGGCACTCTGCAAATGACAGTGGAATTAATTTTTCAGAGTCACTGTACAGTACAGAAGTCTGACAAATGTACATGTGAGGATGTATGTATGTGTGCATCTCATCTAAAGGTGTTCACATAATATGTATATTCCTGTGTATATATTAGATACATGTTTATGTGTGTATGTGCATATGTACATGTGTGTATGTATGTATATACAGTCTTATCCAAAGGTGATATATGTGTGCATGCCAGTGTGTATATGCATCTATGTACATGCATATATATATGTGCACACACATTGTTTATATATGTCTATATTTGTCATATGTATGTATATGTGGGAGGTACATAATACACAATCTCATCCAAAGATGATTTATATGTATGTATTGCATGCATATGTGTGCATGTATGTTGTTTATGTGTGTGCATATATACAGAGTCTCATCAAAGGTGATATATATGCATATGTGTATGTTTGTGTGTATTTATGTGTAAGTGTACTATATACATGCAGGTGTATGTGTATACATGAACCTTTTTGTGTATGCATGCATGCATGTGCACACACACAAAGTGTGTCTTTCTCTCCAGGAGCAATGAGGAAATAAATCCCTATGGCCTGCATGATTCCCCCACACCTGGGACATCAGACACATGGTATATACGTCCAGCTGCAGCAGCCTGCCTGGCTGAACTCCAGAGCCCAATGGCATCTATGAGAAGGTGGAACCCTGTGAATTCCACAGCAGGTGATAGAATGGTTAACAGCTTTAGCAGACAAACCCGAGACAAAATGGGTTAAAATTTTCTATTTTGGCAGCCCCAGAAGGCCACACTCAGCTTCAGTCTTTCTTTTCCTCTCTTGCTCTCACCCTCTTTTCCTGCCTCCCGATGAAAAATATGCTCCGGCTTAATAGAATTACTTCCAGAGCCATCAATGCAAACGCTGTTTCAGGGCAATCTCATTCAAACAAATGTATTTGTATTTGAACAGTGTTACTTGAAAAATTAAATCGTGGTAGCTATTCCCTCCCCTCCCCCTGGCCATCCATCCAGCCCTCACAATGGGGAGGAGAGGAAAGCCAGGCAGAGCTGAACAGTTTTTAAATGAGTTTGATCTGATTTAATGATGCCTCTCTGCATTAATTAACAGTGAAACCAGCCAATAGATTGTGTCAATCATAGATGGATCCACGGGCATCCATTTTATCTTTTGAACAAACTGAATATATTGCCATTTGAGCTTATTGTGTTTGGAAATCTCACAGCTGGGATTGAGAGGGTTGGTGGGGACTTGGGGACTGGACAGGCGTACGTGGGTGCAGGTCCATGTGAATTTGGGAGTGTACACCCTCAAGTGACGTAGGGGAGCTGCCCAGAGGCTGAACACTCAGCACTGCTGCATGTGGGGCATGTCCTGTCACCTCTCCCTGCTCCCCTCTGTAAATCAGGGGCAGGAATTGTAACTCATAGGGAGTCTTTGAAGATTAAATGATTGTGGTGTGGGTAAGAAGCTTGTCAGAGTTTGGAGATCAAAAATGGTGTCATCGCCTACATCTCAGAAGTCAGGGGTTGATCCTAAGGCAGTGAGAAAACAGCAGGAAGCTGGGAACAAACTTCCCTTGCCAGTCCATTGAGGAGGCTTTGTACCTCAATTCTGCTATGAAGTCAGGGCCACTGTCATGGATGTGCCATTGTGCAGTCGCTAGGTTCTGCTCTCTGAAGGCTGCACACTATGTTTATTGAGCCACTGTGGCTCAAGAATGAGTTATAGTCTTAATAACTTTATCTTTGTGTTTTGTATGTGAAGGTTGATGGGCCAATGAGCAGAGGAGCTAAACGTAATAGGTGCCTCCCCCAGCATTTCTCATTTCTAAATTTGAATATAGTGTTTATAATAGCTGGGCTGTTTAGTTTGTTTGTTTTTGGTTTTGTTTTTTTAAGAACAAAGGACCCTGCATTTTCATGTTGCACCAGGCCCTGCAAAGCATGCAGCCAGTCCTGCCTGGGGAAACCAGTCTTGGGGGATACTCTATTTAAAGGATGTGTGTTAATATTTTTTTTAAGGCTTCTAAAGAAGGTGGGAACATAGCTGAGCACCTACTGTGTGTTGAACATCACACTCAGCATCACATGTTTCATTTCACTTAAATCTTGTTGGAAGATGCTAAAGCAGGTACTGTATTCTCATGTTATAGATGAGAGAACTGAGGCTTGGAAGAATTAGGTAATGTGCTTAGGATCACATATTAGGGAAAGATGGCTGCGGATGAAACCTCGTCCATCCAGGAAACATCTGCTTTTCCCCTTCCCTTTCTTCATCCCAGTCCTACTGCCCCCAGTCCCTCTCTCTCTTTCTCTCTCTTCGTTGCTACACCCAGGAGGTCTGTGGTGAGTGCTGGCTGATCTGAATGGAAATGAAATGAACAGGCTGTAGGTGTGGTGATTCATCTGTTCACATTTGAAACCTCTCTTTGGCAGGTGTCTACACTTCCTGGGACCCAGGGTCTGAGCTAAGTGTTGAGCACCCCATGCCAATCAAGAATTCTGAAAGAGCCAGGTTGGCTGATGAGTAGGAAAACAAACAGTTTAATGCCAAGAGATTCCCCAGCTATTCAAGCCATACAAGAAAGCAGATGGGTGCGCTGAACAAAAGTAGGCCTTTTTTTCTTTATGATTTCAAAGGAGGCATTGCTTTTAAATAGATAAATTGTATTTATCAGTGCTTCTGAAAGACAGAAATTGAAACAAATCCTTAAAAAGGTCCGTGAAATAATAAGAGGTCTTGTTTGATCTTTTTGGTTCATAGAACAATGTCACCCTTCTCTGTAAATATTGTTGAAATCAAAACATCTATGGATACCTTAAAGCAATAACTGCTGTTTTTCCCATAAAAACACCCTGTTTTCAGAACAGTCCTGAGGAGACAGTACCCAGAAAAGTTAAAAGAACAGGTCCAGGTACAGAATTTGAAGTTATGAAGTCCATTGATAATTAACTTTATTTAGCATCTAGTATGTGCCAGGCACTTTAAAGATTATATCCCATTTAGTCCCAACAACAGCCATGGATAAATGCTGTCTTTAACCTCATTTACCTGATGAAGGGGAGGAAGCTCAGAGAGGGTAAGTAACCTGCCCATTGTGACACAGCTAGAAAGGGGAGACACGGGACTCCCTAGGCAGGTCTTTTGGGTTCCAGAACCAATGATCTTAACCACTACTCACTCTGAATTTACTCTGTGAAAGAAACAAAAGATGGCTGTTTTGGAGGAAGAAGTAAATCCGGGGGAATAATCTGTCCTGACCAGAGAATTATTTAATTGAAGAAACATTGCTATTCACTAAATGTCTCCCCTGGTCTGATGTGTTCCTTTCCCAGTTTCCTCTCTACAAACACCCCATGCCCCGCACTCCCCCACACCCTTGTTCTGTGGGCTACCTACCTGGCTGCCCCCATCTCCCCTCAGAGTGGGCAAATATGCTCCCTGAAGCATGTCTTCTGCTAAGTTCTGAGTGTAGCAGGCCCAAAAGGAATTTGGAGTCCAACTGACTGAGATTTGAATCCTAGCATGTTTCCTTCCACATTACAAGATCTTGAGCAATTTATGTCACCTCTCTGTGCCCAGTTTCCATTTCTAATAGAAACCACAGTATTGGTCCTGGATGCTGCCATGCATACCCTCCTCCCCTCTCAGGAATGAAGGACCTGTGTTCCCAGCTGCTAGGAGGGCTGCCGTCTGCCAGGCCTCAGCTGCCAGTCTCTCTGGGGCTGCCTCACTCCTCAGAGGCTCACCTCCATCTCAACGTCTGCTTCCTGGGGAAACTGCCATGAGAAAAGGCCTTAAAGCCAGAATGTGTTGCTGGCTCTCACTGTCATGCATTTTTGAAAATACACACTTGATGGCTTCCTTGTAAGTGCAGCTACACTGCTGGGTACAGAAGGTAAAGAGAAGGTTTAAACAACGGAAAATTCTTGAAAGCTGCACTGAAATGGAAAGGGTTTGGAGAAAAGGAGAGAGGTCTGATCTTACGAAATGTTAGAGAACTATGGAGGGGCGTTGGTTCTCTAGGCGTTCCAGGCTTGGCATAATTTGGCAACCATTGGCTGTCCGTCATATCATCCTTCACTTTCCCAAAACCTCTCTACCCACATAGACTGTGCTGTGATTCTTCAAATCTCTGTGGATTTGCCCATTCTGTTCCACTGACTTGGTATTTTTTCTCCTCTTCTCTCCCTAGAAAACTCCTATTCATCCTTCAAGGTCCAACTCAAAAGTTTCCTCTCCAAAGTGTTCCCTGCAATCCAAAGGGAATAATACACCATCCACTCCACAGTATTTCCGTAAGGCTTGGCCCAAAGTCTTCTCATTGTCAGGGGGTACTATGCTATGCTGTATCCTGCTTTCTTTTGTCCCCCTAGATTTGTTTATCTCTGAGGGCAGAGGCCATGTTTTACTCCTCTTTGGAATAACACAAGTGAAGGGAAACACATATTTTGACTAATAGATGCCAGACACTCTTGGAACTCCTTTGCCTATAAATGTGTAACTCATCAAAATATCTTTCTTAAAACTGTCATTACATGAAGAAATGTCTCACAGCTAGGGAGTCGCAGAGTTGAGATTCAAACCCAGGCACAGCCAGGAGGACCCAGAGCCCCTGCACTAGAGGACTACACTCTAAGGCTTGCAAACTATGACTCATGGGGCAAATCGTACTGCCTAGTGCCTGGTTTTACAAATAAAGTTTTATTGGAACTTTACTGGAACACAGCCCTTCATTTACATATCTATGGCTGCTTTACTGCTACAATGGTGGAGTTGAATAGTTATAACAGAAACCACATGGCACATGGACCACAAACCCCAAGATATTTCCCAGCTGGCTCTTTACAGAGAACATTTGACCATCTTGCTTTATGGCCCTCTCTAGAGGCCTCACATGCGTATCTCTTAGAATTCACTGCATATTTTAAGGAAGCGGGTATGATGATTTCCCTTCTGTGGTTAAGAAACACAGACCTGAGGAGGGAAGTGAAGTAAGGGTCCAAGTTTAGTGACCAAGGTAAGGGCAAAGAGGGCACTCTTTCTGAAAACAATGGACCCAAAATGCATGCCTATAAGCCTGGAGCCTCCCCAGTACACAAAGCGATGCTTGGGCAGCTGACGTTTGCCTCTCCAAGGAGAGATGGCATGTCCGTCTGCAGGGCTGGGGGTGACTGAAACAAAGTGAGCTAAGCGTCCATGTTCCCCTTGTCCTCCCCCACTGGGCCCAATGGCCACTTAACACACATTGGCCCTTCTCTCCCACAGCGGGGCCCCCGATCTCCCACAGCTGGAGAGCTGTCAGGAGTGCAAGGCCATCCATCTTCAAGGGAAGTTCTCTCTCCCAGCAGGATATCGCCTCCCCAGCCGCTGAAGCAGTAGGACCCTGACAGGCATGATTCTCCATGGGTCACCGTCACTGTCCAGGGCTGGGCTCCTGCGTAGGAAGTCCTGAAGTCCAGAGGGTGGGGGATGAGGGGGACACCGGGCAGTCATTTGTGATGAGCAGGACAAGGGCCAGTTCCATGCAGGCACCTGGACAAAGTAGCAGGATGGAGAGACCAGGCTAGCAAAGTGGAGCCTTTCCTAATAACAATAATGATGTTAATAATAATAACAGTAACAATAACAGCAAATTCAGAGTCCATATTATTGGCCAGACTCAGTTCTCAGGGCTTGGCATGTATTAACACGCACAGTTCATAACAACCCTATGAGGTAGGACCATTATTATCCCATTTTGCAGGTGAGAATAGAGAGGGACGTTCTGTGTCCAAGGCCACACAGAAAGTAGGGAGCAGAATGAGGGTGTCAGCCAGGCCGTGCGGCACCCGTGCCGCTTCTGCAGGCAGCATCCTACTGAGGATGACAATGAGCAAAATACAAAAAGTAGAAATCTGCGACCCTGAACCCACATTACAACTGCCTTTTGTTCTGTATTTTCTGACAGACTTCCACTGCTTACAAAGATCTAAAGGGAAGATCAAGTGTCACAAGGGTTAGGTCTGTTTTCCATTGTTTTATTCCACAAATCTCTGTTGAGTACCTTCGATACGCCAAGCACGGTGCTACATGTACATGTACGGGGGAGATGAGGAGAAGGAATTGAGCAAGTTTCCTGATCTCACAGACGGACCTTCTAATGTAATGGCGCAAACAACATCAATCTGATGCTCAGTGCAAAACTGCAAACTTGACAAAGGGGAAAAGATGTGGTCCTCTGAGCACCTGCAATAGGGAATCTTGCACTGAGGTCTGAAGGAGGTGTAGGGGTGAATTCAGGGAGGGAAAAGCATCCCAGCAGAGGGAACAGCATAAGCAAAGGCCCAGTACCTGAGGGCACATGGTATTCTAGGAACAGAAAGGTGGTCAGTACAGCTGGAATCCTGAGAGCATGAAGGCTCGAGGACGAGGTGAGGTCACAGGGGTGGGCAGGAGCCTGGGACCTTGTGGGCTCTGGGAGGGGTTCTGAGCCTGATGGGGAGCCCTTGGAAGGCTTGAAGCTGTGTGACCACAGGCTCGGGGCAGAGGATCCCTCTGGCTAGTGAGTGAAGCCTTGGTTTGGCCTTCACAGTCCTGCACAAGGCAGTTGGCGTCCATGGCCACTCCCACCAGGGAGAGTCAGGATAGGAATCTGGGGAAAGACCGGAGGGACAGGAGACAGGTGGGGAGGCAGGGCCAGGCTGGCTGAACTCTTGGTCAGAGGGGAGAAGCAGAGAGCAAGACATGGCAAAGAGAAGCTGCCAGGAATGCCCTTCTGGGGGACTCCATAGAGGTGGCCCAGCAGATAGAAATCCTGAGACCCCCCCAGCAGAGCTCTACAAACCGTTCCTGCCCCTGGCCTGAGCACTCTCCCTGGGAGCTGAGCTGAAGTGGATGGGGGGGTGTCGTTAGGGCAGAGGAAGGCTGGCGGCCTGCCACCTTTTCCAGGGAGCTAGCTCCAGCCTGGAGGAGCGAGGCCTGGTAGGGAGGCAAAGAGCAGTCCGGGTGGGGCAAAGGAGCAGGTGAGTCTCACCCTCTAAAACAAGCTGGGGCAGGAGGGGGCTATCAGCAGCTGCCTCCCTTGCCCCTCACCTACAGAGTGCCCCTGTGTGAGCTGGGGCAGCCAGCGGGTTTCTACCTGGCAGTTGGCTGTAGCCTCCCACCCCAACCCTGATGCTGGGGGACATAGGATTCCTGGGGCTGCTGTCCGTGTCCATGGTGACAATCTGTGTCTGGGCCCAATGACAGTCTGTGCCTAAAGCATCCTCCTACCTCCAATCTCTGTGGACCTTTCTTTCCTAAGGTAAAATATTATTCTTCATTGATATGATAGGGTCCTGGGGCACAGAGAGGTGGCATTATTTACCTAAGGTAACACAGGAAACAAAACAGAATGGAAGAAATAGGGACAAAGCTTTCAAAATAAAAATCAACTGTAGCTCTTTCTGCTTTCTTGGGGCATGCTATTGTTTGACAATTTGTCTCTTGGGGTAAGTAATATACAATGGCAATTAATAGCAAAAATTAATAACTGTCCCAGTTGCTACTGATGTATAACAAAACACATCCAGACTTAGTGGCACAGTGTAACCACTTTACTTATGCTCACTCATTCTGTGAGTCAGGAATTTGGACGGGGCACAGTGGGAGCAGCTTGTCTCTGCCCACGAGGTCTGGGGCCTCAGCTGTCCAGGGACTGGAATCACCTGGAGGTGTCTTCACTCACATTTCTGGCAGTTGATGCTGGCTGTTGGCTGGGACCACCACCTGGCCATTGGCCAGCACCGGGATGTGAAGCATCTCTGTGTGGGCTAGTCTGGGCTTCCTCACAGTATGGCGGGTAGGCTCCATGCGGGAGCCGTCCAAGAGGAAAGGAGGGAGTTGTGGCATTTTTATGAACTAACTTCAGAAGTCACACAGCATTATGTCTACACTACTGGTCAAAGCAGTCACAAAGGCCCACCCAAGTTCAGGGAGATGCAGTCCCCTCACTCAATGGGAGGAGTATCAAAGTCTCATTGTAAGACAAGTATGTGCAATGGGGGGTATTGTGGCCAGTTTTTGGAATAAAAAATGCCAGAACCATCACAGCTAACACCTAAATAGTACTTTCTATGCTACAGTGTGAGGGACAGATGGCCAAAGAGACAAACTGCTCTCTGTCAGAGTTCCCCAGAGGGTGGCCCTGGGCCCCGCAGTGTCAGCCTTGCCTGGGAACTTCTTAGAAATGCACATTCTCAGGCTCCACCCCAGACCTGACCTGCTGCACCAGGAACTCTGCGGGTGGGTCCCAGCAACCTGCAATTTCACAGACCTTCCAGGCGGATCTGATTCTGGTGCCATGATCAAGTTTAAGAACCCTCTGATCTGCGTAATAAATGGAGGGGCTTTTAGTTTCTGCAGGGAGGCCAGGGATAAGAGGGGAGGTACCGAGGACGTTTTGGAAAGGAGAGAAGAGAGAAGAGCTCGGAAAGAATGGGCCCTGAGAACACGGCTGGATGCAGGAGACAATGAACAGACAGAGCTAGAAATTCCTCGGGGCAGCGTGCGACTCATCAATGTTTAGAAACAGCCATGATGGATATGGAGCTTGAGGTTGTTTCCTGCTTCAGGCTATCATGATTCTTTGTGCATATATGTACTTAGTAGGACTTCATATATATGTGTTTATATTTATCAGTCTTGGTTAATGGATCATTATATTAAAAATTAATAATAATAGAATAGAGTTTTATTCATAAATAACAAAAATCGGTATTGTTAATAAACCCTCCCCCCATGTGGTTGGGATAAAAAGCACATTTTTTCACCTGTGTCCTTTCCCCAAAACCTGTCTCCCAGGAAGCCTGCTGATATCCAGCCAAAGAGTCACAGTGCAAGATTATGAATCATAACTGCCGTGAGATGACAGAGGGGTCCCACTCAGCAATTTCCATCCAGAAGGCATCCTATCTTGACTAATGGCCTGGTTCAAGGAAAAATATTGTTATTCCCCTTTTGACAAATGTGAACATTGAGAAAAACTGAGTGAATTTCAGCAAGTGTAACTGGATGGCTTTTAATCGCCAAACGCTAGTTCATTAGCTAAGTTCCAGAGAAAAGGTGAACGATTTTGTGCAGAGACCTCTTGGGGATGATAATACTTACTTGATGTAGCATCTATAAACATTCTTTCCAGATCTTTTCCATACCCCTAGAGGTAAGTTTCATTACTGAACCCATTTTACAAGTGAGAAAACTTGAGCTCATTGAAAATAAGTAAAAAGTTGAAGTCTTGCACTGAGGAAGAAGCTCCTATTCCTATAGATGCCATAGCAAAGCCAGTGACACCAGTGAAATCATCACCTGTTCTTACAGGACGCATGACAATTCTAGCTTGACATGGCACAAAATGCATTGGGGTTTTCTTACACACTTATTATGTGCCAGACACTATGCTAGGTCTAGAGATACAGCCCTAGTATATGTGGAACTTACAGCTGAGTTGGGGAGATGAATATATATTTATACAAGTGGAATCTACTGATACAGATACCTGCTCTTTCTCATAGCTCAGCACCTCTCTTTTAAGCACAAAGCACCCACATTTTAGGGGAACTATCCATGCCATCCTCCTCCATCTTTCTCAATGCCATGTAGTTCGGTAAATTATATTTGATATCCTAATATTACCCAAAAAAACCAAAGGCTGGACACGTGACCCAATTCTGGCCAATCATAGTTGTTCAGCCCTCTGGCTACAGGGATTGCTTCAAGAATAGGCACATGACCCAAACAGAGCCAATTGGAGTTCTTTCCTGGAACTTTACATGAAGACACCAGGAAATGGATATAGTTATGTGTCTACAGACACATCCCCTAGAGCCTCAGCCACACAGAGAAGACCCACTTTCAGGAGAAGAAATGGGGTCATTATACAAGAAGGCAGGAGAACCAAGATATGATGGAGGGGCAGAGAGAAGCTTCAAGTCCCAGAGGTCTAAGGGCAAGGGCTCTAGCAAGAGAGCCAGGTGGAAGCTGGAATGCCTTCCTAGCCTACCCTTAGAAGGCACAGAGCATCACTTCTGCCATACTCTAGTCAGCAGTGGCGAGTCAGTAAGCCAGGCCCATATTCAAGGGGAGGAGAATTAGACTCCATCTAATTCTCCGGTGAGTGGTATGTCAAGGAATTTATGAACATATTTTAAAACCACTATACCTGTTGCCCCTTAGTTAGCCTGGGGCTGTGTTCTTATATTTTTTCCAAGGCTGATGGATCTTCAGAAGCAGTCAATAACACAGGACACAGGTCACTCTTGAGTCATCTTTTAGGACTGTGTGTAGAAATACTGCCCAATCCTGACCAGGAGAGAGAATGGTAGAAACAGGAGACATGGTGCCTCTAGCTCTTTCTGACTCCTTCTGAAAGAGGAAAAGAAGCTAGAACTACCCTTCCCATTAATAGACACTTTTACAATTTTCGATATCCAAATGGCTCTGAGAGTTGGACGAGGTAATTGTCCCACACCCCAGAAGAGGGACTGAGGCTTAGAGAGAGAGAATGAATTGCTCACAATGGTGCATAATCAATGGAGGCTGGACTCTAACTCTCAGTTCTTTCATTTTTGGGGGGTCCATTCTCCTATTTCTCACCTTGTGCTTCTTCACCCTGTGAACTGTGCATGTCTCTCAGATCATAAGAGAGAAGAGGGTCCCACCAGTGAGGTTTACACCCATCTTAACTGCTCAATAAAACCTCATGAGACTTCCTCAAATCCAGAGAAGTTAACTCCTGACACTTTCACAGCTCGTTCACGATACACAAACCAGATGGACACGGGCCTTGAATCCATTTCGCACCATCAGGCAGCAATCAGGATGCAGGCTCTGCTCATGGGCCGGGCACAGAGCCCCACTCTTTGTTCTGTCCGCAGACACCCTGGGGTAGGGCTGGAGGGTACCTATTTCCTGTCTTGCATCTGTTTATAAACGTGCCACCAAAGAAGAGGGGCTGTTGGTCTTTCCTTGTGGATTTAAAACACACTTTCAGCTCTTCATGAGCTAAGACAGGTAGGCATTTAGGAAACTGGCATTCTCTGAAGAAATTAACTGGGACATGAGATCTCTTTAGTGAAAGATAAAAGTATAGCCTTTGGCTTTTATGCCTCTAGGAGAGAACTGGAGTGATTTAGACCATGGGCTTTGGATTCATAAGATCTCGGTTCAAACCCCACATGTGCCACTCACTGTTGATTTAACCAAAGGCAAATGACTTAATGTCCAAGCCTCCCTTGTTTCGTCTGTTAAGGTGAGGATTGCATAAAGCTGTTACAGCTAGGGTAATCATGAGCATAATGTGGCTGACACACAATATGTGCTCAGTTTGTGGGTGCAGCTGAAGCTCCTAGAGCTGAGCAAGGCAGTGCAAGAAACAGATGATGGACTTGTTAGGAATTCCACTCAGGAAGTTTACAACTCAGCACTTCCCAGAAGGTGATTCAAAGGGCACTGTTTTCAGAAGTTAGATGTGTGTGTGTGTGTGTGTGTGTGTGTGTTTGCACACAACAACCTTATAATACAGACCATGATTATTACCCTTCTGTGCAGGTAGGGATATTAAGAAAAAGACAGATATATCGGGCTTCAGGCCACACAGCTAGCAAGAGGGTGAACCCAGGCCTCAGACCTGGCGAATCTTGCACCACAGTCTACACTCATCCATACTGTCTACCCCTTCTGGTGTTTAGAAGTGTTGGGGAAACTAATGGGAGGAGATCTGGACAAGAAATGCAAGACGGATGAGATGATATTAAGAAGGAATGGGATTTCAGGATGATTTACACTTGGCAAGATGGATAGAGCACTGGAAGGAACCTAAATATCCAGAATTGTGGAAGGCTAGGTACCCTGTGGCCCCTGATAAGTGGAGTAAAGACATGCACACTATATTCAAGCTCAGCTCCTGTCTCTAAGCAGCTGTGAGGCTTTTGACAACTGACTCTACCTCTGGAAGCCTATTTCCTCACCTAAGAAAGTGGCATCATAATAGGAACCATTTCATAGGCTTGCTGTAGGATTAAATAAACTTGCACATGAAAAGAGTCCAGCCCAGGGCCTGGCATATAGTAAACCCTCAATGGTCAACTGTTATTAATGAGTATATTATTACTGCAAAATACCACAGTCATTGACAATCAGATTGACTTTTTTAATACCAAAAATGAGTCTTGGCATGTTAAGTGGAAAAGTAGATAAGAAATCAGTAATCTCAGTGTTTTAATGCAGAAAAACATCTCCAGAAGAAAGAGGTATTTCCTCTGGGAGATGAAACTGCATTTTTTTTCCCTTGTGTTTTTTTTTCAATTGTGATAAAATACACAGAATATAAAATTTGCCATCATAACCATTTTGAGGTGTATAGTTCAATGGTGTTATAAATGTTTACATTGTCTTTTGTCCTTTGTTTACTTTTTATTTTCTGCATTTTTTCTACAATGAACACAAGTTGCTTTAGTTATCATATTACTACAAAATGTTTTATTATAGTTTTAAGGCAGGAGACGTAGCTAATAAAAGAACTACAAAGAAACAAAAGGGTTAGATTGGCAAAAATAGTGGTCGAAAGGACAATAACCATAATTGGTAAAAAGGCTTCCAAATTAATTTAAAAAGGAGGAAAAGATGGAAATAAATAAGTAAAAGATATGAATGGTCAGTAAAGATGAAGAGATGCTCAATCTTATTAGAAATAAAATTAATTAATCCAAATGTGATAGCCCTTTGAATAGTATTTAGGAGTGCTAGAGCCATTGGCGGTAAAGGTTGAAACATTTTCTGTACACCTTCACCCAAATGGAGAGTAAGTGTTTTACATATTTTCAGACAACAATCACTTTCTACCTGGCAACACTTCTCTTTGCTCTGACAGTTTCACTGGTAGAAATCTGTTCTAAAGAAACGCCTATATGTGTACAGAGGGACATAAACACTCTTGTATTACTACATCATTTTTGCATTAACAAAATCTGGAAAACGACCTGAAAGTAAATCAGTCAAGGATTGGTGAAATGAATTACGGGTAAGTCCCTGTTCTGGAATATGATGTTACCGTCTACAAAATAAAATATGTGTACCGACATGGAAAGATGCCCATGACGTTAACAGACAAAAACGCAAATATCAGAACAATGAGCACAGTATGTGTCCATCTGTGTTTAAAAATAAAAGCCATCCAAGGAGAGCTGTGTATGTATGTGTGTGTGAATGCACATTGAAAAAAACATCTATTAAGATTTACCCCAAATATTAACAGTAAGCATCTATAGAAGGGGAGTGGGATTTGCAGAGAGAAATAAGAGAGAAGGTTTTCTTTTTGACTGTCTCATCTAGATTATTTGGATGGCTTCAAATTTACAATAAACATATAATAATTCTATGGTACAAAAAAAAAAGGATGAAGAAGAAGAGGTAAAAAACATGAAACCTGCTTTCCACGGGGAGTTTTATGATCACTGAGCATTTGTGAGTGACCTCAGAGGCAGATGCAGCTGATGCACAGTCTCCCCAAGGGGTCAAGGTCCCGTGCAGACGGCTGGACCGAACTCTTACAGACCAATAACTATACATCTCTGTCTCAAAGTCAGGAAGTCACTTCCACGGCCTCCCTTAATAACTCATTCCAGGGCTTAATAACCTTTCCTTGCAGGAAGTTCTTCCTCTCATCACAGCTAAGTCCTTCCTGCTGCCCTGTCAGCCCTAATGGATGGGTGCCCTTTCCCTCCCCAAATCTTTGGAGCCAGGGCCAAAGAGTGAGGAACAGGACAGGGACCACATCGAATGTCTGCAGTGTGTCACTTCACCCCAAGGACCTTCGGCTCTTAGGATCTCGGCAGAGCAGCGACCGTGACCATCTATTACAGCCGGTGATGGCCAAGCTTCTCTCTGCAGCCCAGGGGGTCCCCAGGGGCCTCCAGTCTGCCCATCCCCACCACTGGATGCTGTGCTCTGTGTAAACTCTGCCTCCCTGGCCTCTTTCCTGTCATATTTCATGTATCCCGATGGTCACTCAGGCCAAGATTTACGGAATTCATATCCTTTTGAGCTGTAGGAAAATGGGAAACTCAAGATTTACTATCCCCCTGGGAAAAGCTAGGAAGATGCAGACCCCGGAGTTTGAGGAGGGGTACAGAGGTGAGTTGGAAAGACAAGCAGTTACTTGGTCACAGCCTCATCAAGGTGGGGCCTGGGACTTTGCCATCCCTGACAGTAGGCACGTTCCTTCCAGAACCTTCCCACCTCTCACAGGCTCCACTAGAGTGTGGCATGCCAGACTAAGGTCTGCAGATAACAAAAGACCAGTAAGACAGAGCTCCTGCTCTCCATAAACTTGGGGTATGTGGAAGGGGGTACATAGGTTTGTCAGCAATTCCAATCCAAAGCAAAGGGGCTTTAGACTTCCCTTAGGACACTGATGAAATTCCTGCATTTGGAAATTGGTAGAGTCCTCACTTAGTGGAGCTATTTCCTTTGTTTTAAGGTTACTTTAACCTTGCTGAGTCTTGGTCTCCTTATCTGCATTGTGGTTGGTCACGGCACTTTCTTTGTGGGAATTACATGTGCACTTAAGAAAATGGGCATTTAAAGGACTCTAGAGCCAGACCGTCCAGGTTTAATTCACAGCATTGGGACTCATCAGGTGTGTCACCTTAGAAAGGACACTTAACTTCTCTGTGCCTCAGTTGTCACATATGGAAAATGGGAATTATCAGAGGAATTAGTACCACCCTCATAGGGCTAACATGAGTTAATATATGCAGGTGCTTAGAACAGTGTCTGGACCATAATAAACATCATATTGGTTTGCAGTTAGTATTAACATGGTGAATAGGCATGGAAGAAACATCTGGAAGTGTGTAGTAGCATCAGATGACTCTGACAACATCAAACTGGGGATTAGATCAGCCTGGCTGAGTGGGTTAATGTCTCAAGCTTATCTACTGGTAGTTGTTCACAGGCTTAAAAATTCATTGCAACTGATTAACAAGTGTGCGCTTTGCTGTGTATACATTATGCACCCATGAAAATAAAAACCTCTGCAATAATATATTCTTAATTAAATAAGAACAGTGCAGCCTCTACAGTCTGCTTGGTTAGGTACGTATTTCAGATCCATGACCCACCAACCATCTGACCACAGCCAAGTTAAAGAACTTTTGTGCCTCTCTTTCTGAGTCTGTAAAATAGAAATGAAGTTACTATCTATGCCAATGGTAGAAAAGGTTAAATGAGATCATACAGGCAAAGTTCTTAAAAAAGTGACAAATACTGTACACTTGATATTATAATTTTACTGGCAGAAT